TGAAAGGCAAAGAAGAACAGACGCTCCACGGAAGATTTCTTCAAGATCTTCGAGGAAATTAATGCGTCAAATTAAACAAAATCCAATGGTTACTCGTCAAGAGTTGCAAGATGATTTGCTTTCATCAGAAATCTGTGTCACTAAACAGACAATAAGCAATGAAATTTATAGGACCAATCTAAAGTCACGCACCCCTCGGAAAACGCCACTGCTATTGAAAAGACAGAGATGTCAGGTTGAAATTCGTTTGTGAACAGAAGTACAGGGAAAAATCGTATTGAGAAAGAGTATTATGAACAAACGAAAGCAAAACTGAATTGTTTGGACGTAATTCTAGAAATCATGTATAGAGAAAAGATGGCAACGCCTTCAACAAAAGAATACAGTTCTAGCAGTGAAAATTGGTGGTGGTAGCATCATGGTCTGTAAAAGGTACTGGCAACATATCAGTAACAGATGGTAGAATGAATGCCGCAGCATATCGAAATATTTTAGATGCAAATTTAATGATTTCGTTTGAAAATCTTAAACTTCCTCCTGATCGGATCTTCAAACAAGATAATGATCCTCATCATACTGCAAAATCTACGAAGAAATAGTTTGCTGAAAATAATTTAAATATCCTGAAATGGCCAATTCAGTCTCCAGGTTTAAACCCAATCGAGAATCTGTGGCGTTATTTGAAAAATCAAATCCAATCGAGAACTCCAACATCCCAGATCTGAAGATCGTATGGGAAGAAAAATGGAACAAAATACCAACAAAAATTTGCAAATCATTATTTGAGAAAAAGTTGGTTGGTGTAGAAGTGAATAATGGCTATTCTAAATAAAATATTAAAAAATGGCTATTCTAAATAAAATATTAAAAAATGGCTATTCTAAATAAAATATTAAATAATGGCTATTCTAAATAAAATATTAAAAAATGGCTATTCTAAATAAAATATTAAATAATGGCTATTCTAAATCAAAAATAAAATTAAATAAAATATTAAATAATGGCTATTCTAAATCAAATATTAAATAATGGCTATTCTAAATAAAATATTAAAAAATGGCTATTCTAAATAAAATATTAAATAATGGCTATTCTAAATAAAATATTAAAAAATGGCTATTCTAAATAAATATTAAATGAAGACTATGTATTCTCTTTTGTATTGTAGGAATACATTTTTCACCCATTAAAATGAATAAATTTATTTCTATGAAACCAATTCTTTTCTGTTTTCTATGCATATTTAGTCATTATGCATCTGTGTACAGTTAATTATATGAAAAGTATGTTTATTCATTAGTTGGAAATACAATAAATTAAAAAATTGCATGTGTACGAATATTTGTTTCCCACCGCTGTATGTATGTATACCGCGCGAGAGAATGTAAGCAAGATTAAAAGCCACATCCGCACTGCGCATTTTTGAGGATGGATTTAATTCAAGTTCCATCCATAATGTATTTGATTAGTGAAATCCTAATTTTGAAACTAATGTGCTTATTAGACTAATGTTTGAATGAAACTTTCGTTGTTCAATGCATTTGAGCAAAATTTAACTCTGAACTAAGTACGTCGACAGGGAAATTGACGACGTCAAATGAACGCTTTTTCATTGTTAGGCTGCGAAATTATTGATTTATTAACATACATGCGCACACGTACTAACGCGCACACACACAAACACGTAGACACGCACGCATCTATAACTTCACAGGCATACGTAAGTACACACACACGCACACACATATATATATAACTTTTTTTATTTTTGCAGCAGATTTAAGGTTTTATTGAATGACCGCAGAAAAGGTTTATTTTAATTTTTGGCGTGATGCATATTCTTTATTGACACCAGACTGGGTACCATGATAGGTAATTATCTAATTATAGATAATTGCCATAAATGGGTTTCGTATATTTATAACCCAAAACGTGATTTGTTGGCATGCCGCTCCCCCACCACAACAACAATGATCAGAACAACAATGACATCAACTCCAATAATAATAATAATAATAATAATAATGATAAAATTACCGTATATAATCGTGTATCATACGATATTTAAAACCAAATTTTGAAATTAATTTTAAGAGGGTCGCATCATACACGAGATATAAAATTAGCGTATGTACTGCTGACCCTGGCTACGCCGTTGACTAAACTATATATCCATTTACTGTAGTCAAAACGTACAGCTGTATTTAAAATAAACAGAATTTTGATAAAACTGATGTTTTACTGTATCCAATAATAATGCATGTAATATTAATATATTAACAATCGTCTTATAAAATACAAACATAAGCGAATATGCATCTTTTCCATTGTTTACGTTTGTAAGATGTTTAGCTGTTTCTCGTTCGGTTGTTTATGGCTGTATGCGTTTACACAACGAGTATAGCGTTACTAACGATACTTTTATCATTCTCTTTGACTTTTGTAACTTATTTAACTAGAAGATGGGATAAAGAGATAAAGGAAAAAAGGTTAGTCTATTGTAATTTTGTTTGTCAAAAAAGAAACTCGCAAGATACATGAGATACATGATAAAATCATTTTTATAAGTGAAAAATTGAGCGTGTTACATGAGTATATACGGTAAGTATACGCTTATCAAACTGGATGTCATAATAGGGACATTGAGTTTCGAATATTTGTACCCCAGTATCCCCTTGTTGGTGTCCTGTTTACCAAATCAATATTATTATTATTGTTAACACCCAAGCAAGGTGTCATATAGGATGAAAATGAGTAACTATCGACACCGTGGTTCGAGCATGACAATCTGGACTTATGAGCATATGCTTTCCACCGGGTGTATAAATAGAGGTGTCAGGCTACTGACTGGGGTGATTATTGAGTAACTATTGAGTGGAATTATCCAGTTGAATTAGTGTGAATTATTGTGCGTTGAAGATTTGTGGTTTTGATTTAGGATATACCGGACGTTAAACCAAACCGCGCTACTAACAAGGTAGTCACTGAAAAGGTTAATTATTTTTGGTTGACTTTTACTTCTTTGCTCTTGTTAAGTATTTATTTGCGGTTGTAATTAAATATTGTTTTATCTTAACATTGAAGTCTTGAGTTCGTCTTAATTATTAACGACCACCGTACGTCAAAAAACAAGGCGACAAAGGGTTTGCTGCGAATGAAAGAAAATGAGAAAACATCTGTGAGGAGAAAAGGAAAATAAAATAACAAGATATTGTTGAGGATATTGTTGAGGATCGTAGTTTACAGCAAATCAAAAAGCTTGAAGAGAATTTCAGAGACAAGAAGTGGAAGAGAAGAAACTATTAGCATAGAACTTACGGTTACATCTATCAATTTCAACTGTAAAATGACGAGACCTTACCGCCAATCTAGTACTGTACTTAAATCCATTAATCTAGGTACCAAAGTGGAAAGCTCTTTTGAACAATTACCATGAAAATATTCATAGAAAAGGCGCAGTGAAGCTACGTTACGGCGGTGGGAAAAGCTGAGATGCCAGGTCAAGACGTTATTTCGATTTTACCAAGAATCTTCAGATGTGATATATTAGCAGGAGCACAAGACAAGATGTGGTAGCAATATTCAATCCAGGGATGAATGTTAGACTAATAAACGTGCAAAACAACAAGGAAAACTAACTGCTATAATAATAATAATGATAATAATAATAATAATAATTGTAAGAGTTTTGTCAGTCGTTAACAGAACTCTGTGAACGATCACGGAGAACGTAGAAAAACAACTGATGAACTGCTCATGCCAGGATTTGCAACCCTCTAAATTGCAGCAGTATTAACAGCGAAAGAAGAAGAAGAAGAAGAAGAAGAAGAAGGTGATGATGATGATAACGATGAATGATGAAGAAGAAAAGAAAAACAGAAAAGAAAAAGCAGAAGAAAAAAAGTATAAGAAAAAGTAGATGAAAAAACAGAAAAAGAAGAAGCAGAAAAAAAAGAAGAAAAAAAGAAGAAAGAAGAAAAAGAAAAAAAGAAGAAGAAGAAAAAGCAGAAGAAAAGAGATGGATTTTAAGAAAGAAAAAGATAAAAAGAAACAATAATAAAGAAAAGAAATATAAAGAAAAAAAAAAAAAAAACAAAAAAAAGCAGTTGAAATTAAAATATTAAGAAGAAAAAAAAAAATGGAAAAAAAGAAAGAAAGAAAAAAGCAGAAGTATGGAAGGGAAAGAATGATAAACAGAACGAAATATATAAAAAAAAAAATATTCAAAAAAATAAAAAAGAAAGAAAGAATGTATGGAAGGAAAGAATTAAAGAAGATAAAAAAAAAAAGTTCTAAAAACGAGAAACGAGGCAATGTCAATCAGAAAGACCCAGTGGTGACCATGACTTTATTATTTGTTGAGTAGGAAAAGCAGAAAGACTTCGGCGTTTAAAGTCATGCACTCAAACGAATATTTACTTACGTATATACTTATTTGTGGCCGGTAGACAGGTGTAGCCAGGTGCACACCTGGGCATCGAGAGAGGGAGAGAGAGAGAGAGAGAGAAAAAGAGAGGGGGGGTCAATTTCAACTCCAACACGTACACCTACTGACCGCACCAGAAAAGCAGGTCTTAAAAGCTTTCCCGAAATAAAGCTCTCTCTCTCATTTACACACCTCGTTTCACTTTCACTCTCTCTGTTTTTCTCTTCTTCCTTTCTCTCTTTCTTTCTTCATCTCTCAGTTCTTGGCGTCCTATGTCATTTTCGTAAAGAAAATAGACACGTTAATGAAGTATTAGACTCGAAAGCTAGAAATAACAGAGAAGGAAAAGAAAATGAAAAAGGAGAGGGAGGAGGAGGAAGAAGAAGAAAAAAACAAACAGAAAGAAAAAGAAAGAAAGTGTAGAGCGATGAGGAGAATAAAAAGTAGAAAAGGAGAAGAATAGAAAGAAATACACGATCCAAGGGGCAGAAAAAAAGAAAAGAAAAGTGAAAATACAATTACAACAACAATTAAAACTGCTTCCTAGGACAATAATATGAAAAATTGCCTCCAGGCTACAAACTTTGTTTCCATTGTTCTATCTATCTATCTATCTATCTATCTATCTATCTATCTATCTATCTATCTAATTTAATATCTGTACATCTTAGACTGTTTCTTTTGCTCTCTCCCTTAGTCTATCCCTATCTATCTATCTATCTATCTGGTTTATATATATATATATATATATATATATATATATATATATATATGATGCTTGAGTCTGTTCTATATCTATCTTATCTAGCTAGCTGAGTCTGTTTCTATTTATATCTAATTAAATATATGCTCATCTAAGCTTGTTCCTATCTATCTATCTATCTATCTATCTATCTATCTATCTATCTATCTATCCAATTTAATATATGTCCATCTTAGTCGGTTTCTCTCGCACTCTCTCTCTCTCTCTCTCTCTCTCTCTTTTAGCTTGTTCCTATTTATCTGCCGTAACGATTATTCAAATTCAAAATACGTTTTTTTCCTCACATTTTTACTATGCGCTCACTCAATTTTTTCACTGACGATTGGTTCATTCCATCAGAGAGCAACAACTTAATCCCACGATTATTATCTAAACAGAATTTAGAGAGAGGGAGAGAGATTGGAGAGAGAGAGAGAGAGAGAAAGACAGAGAGAGAAAGATAAAGAGAGAAAAACCAATTTAAAGACGACAGATGGCCCAATGCCAACACCATCAAACTTGGCACAATCTCCTTGACTTGCGGTCAATCGGGTGAAGTTGGTAAAATAAATAAATAAACACGACGAAGCGTCAAATGGTGAAAATTGACGATAGGATTTCAACTTTTTGCTTTTGGTCCAGAAAATCAAAACAAATTACGATTAAGTCTATATTTTCCTTTTTATATGCGAGGTACTATTTTCAAGTGATAGTATTTTTAGCTCTGTAATAGTTCGGTACTAAGCACCACACAGGTGACTTGTGATTTTCATTTAAACGGGTAGTCAGTTATTAACTGCTTAACATTCCCTTGCTCTCCCCACCATATATATATATATATATATATATATATATATATATATATATATATATATATATATATATATAATTTTTCAAACTTTGGTTTATAAAGGCTTTTAAATTTGAGAACGTTCATGAATATTTATCAGGTAGCTGAAAGGTCAGTCAAAACATGTGGTGGGTGTAAAGTGTCCTAATTCAAAGTCTGGCAAAAAATAAACGTGTAAGATTCAAGATTTGTTTTAAATGAATATTTTTGGGATTCTGATTAGATTATAATGCTAAGAGATTGACGTATGTGTTGTACATTTTCAAAAACATGAGGTGATCGATTTACCCGTTTTCTTTTCATTTTTCAACATATTTGTGGTTGTTTGGTTGTGTGTGATGACTTGGGAAAGTAGTACACCCTTGTGCAAATTAACTGAAACAATTTATATATATATATATATATATATATATATATATATATATACGTGTGTGTATGTATGTATATATATATATTAAGGGATTAAAACAAGAAATTTTATATTGTAGGCCATGATAGATTTAAAACAAAACACACACCAGTCGACCGGTTTCGTCCCCTCTCATCAGAACTGTTAACGGGGAACTAAAATTATGAGGAAAAGAAAAAGAAAGTCTGTCATGGATGACATGAATGAGTGTGGACTTGCTGTGCTGCGCTTCTGGCATCTTGGTTGGTATAATTTTTTATAATATTTTTTTTTTCTCCCTGTCCACTCATTCATGTCATCCATGACAGAGTTTTTCCTTTTCTTTTCCTCATAATTTTAGTTCCCCGTTAACAGTTCTGATGTGAGGGGACGAAACCGGTCGACTGGTGTGTGTTTTGTTTTAAATCTATAAATTTCTTGTTTTTTTAATGCCTTAATACGCTTTTGTACCGTTTCAAACATATATATATATATATATATATATATATATATATATATATATATATATATATATATATGTATGTATGTATGTATGTATATATGTGTGTGTGTGTATAATTTTTTAAATGAATATTGTTTAGATTGATTGATAATCAAGCCGTGATAAACCGTGAAAAACGAGAACGATCACTTGTTCCTAAGCAGTAGCAAAAGATGGCGATCGTGCATGATGACACGTTTAAATGTTAAACATGGATCCGACAGCAAGTCAAGAGACGCCTAGCGGTCAGCATTGTAATTAGTGGCTGAGTGCCATCTTCAAAAACGTGAGGTGATCGATTTATCCGTTTTCTTTTGATTTTCAACATATATGTTGGCTTGGGAAAGTAGCAATTCTTTCAGGAAAGGTGAGATTGGGGAAAATCCGAATGGAGATTTATAATTTGATAAGATTCGATGGTGGCACTCTGGAGAATGACAATATTTTTAAAAGAAAAACAAAAAAAGTAAAAAAACAAAAACAAAAAAAAAAAACAACTCTTGAACATTACTCGCTGACTACATTTTGCTAGACTTTCAATAATGACACTTTGTACCCTCCTCATGGTTTGACTGACCATCCAACCACGTGATGAACGTTTCTCAAAATTATAAGCCTTGATAAACCAATGACATTTCCACCCTTGTATATGTGTAGCAAAATAAATCCTTCATTGCCTTCAACTATTCTTAGCCGAAACGCGTCGGCTAAGAATAGTTTTTTCTCTTGTCACTTTTTATTCATATATATATATATATATATATATATATATATATATATATATATATATATATATATATATATATATATCAATCAATAGACAGTACTGTTTCGCAGTTCCTCAGTGCGTCTAGACAACTGAATGCCTCAACATCGGATCGAAATCCAAGCGATTTGGTGTCAGAGCTTCTACCATTGAGATATCTTCACTCGACAGAATGAGTCAGCTAAATCGAGCGTATTGTTTTTACAAGCATAAACAAACGCCAAGCAACCATAGAGCTCCATTTATTTTACTGAAGAACTTCGCATTTACGCAGTTGACCGTTGTTTTTAGAATTAGCTTGTTATTCAACAGTGCTCAATTGAAAATATATTTTCAAGAGCTAAATTATGTCATTCGAAGAAATGGTCAGAGTTGAATCAGACCAGAAAATAATAGTATTAAAAAGTGCTCAATACACGTGAGAAAAAATATAAGTAAAACTAAAAATAACGCGTAGAGCTTTTAACTTTAAAAATCAGGAAGTCAATTAAAATACATGAATATACATTCGATCTGAATATAGTTGCGTATTTTAGTTGCGTATTTTAATTGACCTCCTGATTTTAAAGTATATATATATATATATATATAATTATTTATTTAAAAATATGATTCCAAATCGCGACATAAGAAGTCCCATGTTTCAAAACAAGAGCCGAAAACTTCAATATAATTATTTAAATTATTTAGATTAAATTGAGTTAAAATAAGCTCTGTTCCATCTTCAAGCGAATTTTTTGGAATCCGAAAAAATTTCGCTTGAAGATGGAACAGAGCTTATTTTAATTCAATTTAATTTAAATAATTTAAATAATTTAAATAATTATATTGAAGTTTTCGGGACTTCTTATGTCGCGATTTGGAATCATATTTTAAATAAATAATTATATTATGCTCTACTTTTGTATCGAGCACTATTTTTTAAAAATAATAACTAAAATACTAAGGGACTTTGGATTATTTACCTAACCAGTTCCTTCCTATTTTCTATATATTTTCACACACACACACACACACACACACACACACACACACACACACATATATATATATATATATATATATATATATATATATATATATATATATATAAAAAAAATATGTTGTAGTGGTTCCAACGAGAGAAAAAGTATGTATATTAAAAAGAAGAGAAGAGAGGTGCCGAAAACGTTTTTGTTTGTAATGTGGATTTATTTAGAAAAAATATTATGCTTCGTTTTACATAATTTTACAACACGTGTTTCTGGTCTCGCGACCGTCTTCCGGTAAAAGTGGAGATTTCCACATATTATTAAAAATAATTAATTTTTCCTCATGTTCAATGTTAAATATTCTCGATATGAGACATTTTCTGTTTGTGTGTTGGTAATCTGAATTTCTTTCTAATTCAAGGTGTGTGTATGTGAAAATGCTACGTTTTGGGAATTTTAATAAAAACGTGCTATACGCAATTCAAAAATTGTAATTCAAAATTGTAATTGATTGATCGTAATAGACTTAAAATTCAGTTATATTTTTCACTTGAATTTGTACCCGTGAGTGACGACTACCACTAATCCCAGTCCCTTGAAGAGGATATTGAAGCAGCCGACACCAAACAGTAATAGAGAATATCGTAGTTCAGTGCGTCAATGCGTAGGACTAAAAGGTTACATCTTGCGACCCACTTTGCGACGATCGTTCCTATGAGCAGACGTTCTACTCATACCGGGTGGAAGACGGCCATGATTGCCTACGTCCTGAAGGGACACGGCGCATAAAAAAGAAGTATCAAGTTGCATAGTGTAAGCACCCACTAAATATAAAACTTTGTAAGGTGTGGCTATACTTGTGTGTACAATTTGTTGTATTTCTTTAAAACATGGGCTACCAGGAATCCTTTCAATGAGGGCTCCAACTACAACTGGAATTATTGATGTTCTCATGTGCAATAATTTTGGGATGTCCACTTCAAGATCCTTGTATTTTGATATTTTTTTTTGAAGATCTTCAAAGATACATTACAATCTGCAAGGACCGCTATGTCAATAAGAAAGCACATTCTGTTCTTGTGGTCTTTCATCATGACGCCTGGGCGATTAGCTTTAATTGTTCAGTCTGTGTGTATTGTAAAGTCTCAAAAATTGTTACAGGTATTATCTCTGTAATCGGATCTGGGTGCCCAGATCCGATTACAGATCCATTATCATGTCGAGTTTTATATTTAGTAGATGCTTACATTATGCAACCTGATACTTCTTTTTTTATGTGCCCCTTTAGGACGTAGGCGATCATGGCCGCAACTTCACCCTCTCCCTTGTGGCTCTCAACAGGTTTTTTGTTTCTGCCAACTCCTCTAGACCACGCTCCGCCCTACTACATGATCAATTGTTTCCGGATATTTATCACAGAATCTGCACTGAGGATCAACACAATTTTTCAATATGGGTGTTTGGTAATTTATTATTATTATTATTCCTCTAACTTCCGGCAACTCCTGCAGCCGCGCTGGTACCAAACTATATTGGTTCATCCTTTCCTTTAGACTCTGCTAGCCCGAGAGGAGGAACTAGACGTCCAGGCAGCCCTAGTTCTCCATACATCTCGCCCAGGTTCGTAGCGCACTGGCGCTATTTCATCGTCTCCCGAGACGGACGGACGCCGACGACGACGACGACGGATTATTCCTCTGTGTCGCAATCTTGGACTAAGTCCTGGAAATGAGCTAATTTTAAGTTTGGCGTATGTTTGTCTTCTATGTACCGTGACCCTTCAGGATATCGGCGATCACGGTTCTCCATAACTATACATTATAAGCTATTAATTAGGTTTGTCTTTTTGATATTTCTCCCAAATCGTGTCCTCTCCGGTTACACATTTTTCTAAGGTA